CCCGGCCACAGAGCAGAGGCTGTCACCTGCAGCCCCATCTCAGGGCTCCTGGCTCAGCCTCCATGTGCAAAATCAATTTTAAAAAATGAATTTCTTAAACTACCAAACAGGAATTAAAGGTTGAATACGGTTCTCACTTGTCTAAAATGAGACATGTATTAAAAGACTACTATGGCTATTCCAACAACGTACATTCTCCAGGAAATTCAGGATTTGGACAAAGTTTAGAAGAAATCCAAACACTTTAAGCTGTAGAAATGCACGGTTACGGCACCAAAACCACCTTAACTTTGGCTCACGCTGCTGCCACAGAACATCAACGCGGTGAGCATGACTGGGGACCACAGAGACCTGGGGAGCCTCAATCAGTGATGTGTGTTTACTCCAGGGCAGGCAACAAGAGAAATGACCTTGGCTGAAGCTCACGGGAGCACCTGGGACAGCAGGTAACAGCACGTGGCACTTTATCTGCTTCAGGGTATCTGAAAACTTGTCTAAGGACTTCTGAAAACTGGTTTTGGTGAGAGTTACGACTCTTCCATGACACCAGGGAATTGTCGCTCCGCCTGCAAGTTGTGCTCTTTCGCTATCAGTTTGTGCTCACACAAGAGAAAGATGCCAAAAATGTGCCCAGAACCGCTCGGTACTTGTGCAAATTCCCAAACGGAGTGAAAACCGTTCGACAGAGGCTTTGATGAAATGACAAATCATTTTGTCCCCAGTGATGAACGGGCTCAGAGGCTACCACGAGCTGAACAGCAACGCCACAGCAGAGAGCAGCAATTTGAGACAGGAGAAGAGGTTTTTTTAAAAGCAAACTTACATGATGAGAACCCTGAAACCAGTCCCACATCTATTTTGAGGACTGTCTGAGCCACAGCGGCTCCCAGCACAGAGAATTAGCCAGCTACTCAAAGTAAACGTAGGGAAAAGAAAGGAAAACTAGCCAGCCAGACCGAGATAAGTAAACAAGTCAGGAAAGAAGAAAGACTGAGAAGAATCTCATCCCGTAAATTGCTCCTCAGCACCAGCGTGCCACCAGGCTTGTGTCCCCAGGGTGGGCTCAGCTCGCCCATGGAGGGGTTCCCAACAGAACTGGGATTTCAAGCTACCCCATCAGGAATAGTCACTTCTCTTGAGCTGTCTGTTACTTCAGACAACGGTCGATACCTGCATTTCCCCCGCTGGCTCTAGTTACAATAAAAGGTGTATTTGGATACGTTAGGGGATGTTCAGAATGAAAGAGGCTGGATAAGAGGAGAACAGGGCGGCAGCAACAAGTTTCCAGGCAAAAAACACCCTCTCAGTCTTCATGAAAAACAGCAAAGCAATTCAGAGACTCAACACAGTAAAAGGAAAACTCTGGTGAAAATCTCACCTTTTGGAACAAAGACAACTCCTAAAGCATTTACATGAGTAACCCGAAGAGAGCTGGGTACCATCAGTTGGTGGGTGGCAGCAGCAGAAAGCTCAAATGTGGAAAAAGGATCTACTAATAACTCCCTCAGGGGAACACGGGGCCAGGACACAAAGATTCACACCAGGATTATCTGTGAGCTGAGCAGCTCTGACAGAAGATAGAGCGAATCCTCCCCCAGCTCTGCGGATGTTCAGCCCGTGGGGTCTGTCCCTCACCGGAGCAGGGACTGCCGGCCGGGGGCAAGCAGGACACGTCGCTGTGCCTGGGGGAAGGATGCGGCAGTCTCGAGTCGGAAGGCACAGCGGCTCGAGTCCCTGGTGCCCAGAGCCAAGAGGAGCCAGCTAAAGATAGTCGCCAGCGCACAGTGTCACTGCACAGCTGGGATTTCAGCTGCTCGGGGCCGCTGGGATGAGACATTCCTCTCCCCCAAGGAGCCAGAGGAGATGACTGTATATGGGCAAGCAACGGGCTTCTCCCTCGGCAGTAAACAGGCGATGCTCCGGCTGCGCAGCCGGGAGAGGCCGCGCCGGCCCGCAGGGCATTCACACTGTCGGAAACCCCGAAAAACGCTTTCATCTGGGGCCGTCAAGCCAGGCAGGAGAGGCTGAGGCAGGCGAAGGCCTGTAAATAGCTGCACCACAAACACCTTTCCTTAAATTGTAATAGCTTTTAACCACCTAATAGACCTCAAGCCTAGGGCTCCTGGGGTGGCACCATAGGGGGAACAAAGCTTCTTTTTGTTTTTTTTTTTTTTTTTTTAAGCATTTTTTTCCCCTCCTTTCCCAGTTTTAAAGTCAGAACTAAAAGCAAGCCAAGCTGAGGATGTGATGGTGGTTCTGCTCGGAGCTTCCTGAACAATTCTCATAGGACAGGGACGGTGACAGATTGGCACGTCATGGAATAGGTGCTATAGAAACCACACAGTTCTTAGAAGCAAAAGATTTCTTCTCCCCTCCCTCAAAAAATAACCCACTTAATTCACATATTTTCTCTCTATACTGTATATATATATATCATATATAGACACAATTTCCTGGTAAACATTTACAAGATATTGTAAAGAACAGTGAAAAGATGTATCTCTGTTTGCACAACAACACACACCCACACTTCAGCACACAAAGACGCACAGTAATGTACAGTCAATAAATAAATACTTCTTTCCCCCAGAAGTTATTCCAAAAACACTGCTATCGAGCAGCCCGACGACACTCGCAGTTAATACAGACAGCAAACACTGTGCAGAACTTCTTGGCTGTTTTTGTTCAAAAACCAAGGAAAGAAAAACAGAAGCTTTGAAAGATCAAGTGCCAGCGACGTTGCTCGATAGGACTGTGTTAAAGTCGACCTGTTGGTCCTTGTCCCTCAGCAAGGGGAATGACAGAGCACTTCCCCCTCGGAAAGGGTGACAGGCAGGCTGGTACCCGTCCCAGGACCTGGAGAGAACACGAAGAGCCCGGCAGGGAGGGCTCGAGCTTCCCGCTCTGCTCTGTGGGAAGATGAAAGATCCGCACGCGAGCTGGCGGAGCTGAAGCTCAAGCACCTTTTGTTTCTGTGCTACTACAGACCGAGCGCTCCTCGGAGGTTTCATGTAGATTGCCTCAAAGAATCTCCCAGGTGGTTGGTACACACGTGCTTGTCGGGATTCTGAGGAATGAAAGGCTCCCCTCATCGCTCTTGCCCCCCTCAGCCCCAGAAGGCTCAGCATGCACTGCTGCTCCCTCATTTTTCTGGCTGATCTGCTCTGAAACTGCAAACCGCTTCACCATGCTCCGCAGAACTTTTCTGAAGCAGCAGTTTTCTCTTCTGCACATTTACACCCATCTTGTACTCCGCAAGCAACACCTGACACACGCCACAAGTACACACAGAACGTGGTCAGCACAGACAGACGTTCCACAGGAGAAGGGAAGGGCCCCTTTTCCCTTCTGGTGAGCAGCGCTCCAACAGCAAGAGAAGAGCACGGCCTTGTCTTGCAGAGGGGAGGAGGAGAGCACACACACACAGCACACACACATCACATGGAGGCCGAACACAAATTTTTGCAGCAAAACTTGAGAGAAAGTACCCTTGCAGAGAGCTACAACCTAGCGTCTGCCCTGCTGCTGGAAGCCCACGCTCACGGCAGCCGACTGTGGCCACAGTAAAGCCCCCCCGGCTGAACTAGACCAAATCCTACACCCCTCTTTTCCCTTTTTGTTTTTACCTGAGTTGAAAAATGAATCCAGACTCTCCATGGCACAGCCTTAGCACGACACAGCAGCTCAGCTCTCACTGGCAGTGCTGGAGAGGCACTTGGAGCACCGCGCTCCCGGGGCTGCAGCACAGGAGAGCTGCTGCAGGAAAAAGGGCCATGGAAGAGCATCTTCCAAAAGCAGAGACCACTCAGGGGACCTTGGGCTGTTTTGCCCTTCACAGACGCGTGGAGGAAGCCCACCAAGACCTAACCAGAGACTTTCAGTGGACTTGGGGGGCTTTGCAGCCAGCCCCAGCAGCACACAGAAAACCTGCAGGCACCAAGGGGATCGTTCACACTGTCCAGCTTGGAGCCGCTGGTCTTTTAATGAAGAGAGGAAGAGGCAGGCACCTTCAGAAGGAAGGTCAGGACAGTCACTGGAGTCCAGAGCTCTGACTTTGCCTTCCAAGGAGCTCTCCCCTGATGGGGGTTGCAAAGGAACGAGAGGGAGACCAGACTGCTAACACAAGCAGCTAGAGTAAGGCAGGTAAGAAAACCTCAAGTCTAGAGTTCCCAGAGGAGGTTAAGACCAGATTTTCCAGTTTTCAGAGAGCGTTACAGAGGTCGGATTTTGAAAGAAAAACCCAGTGCTGAATTTAGAGCTCTCCTGAAAAGCCATCCAGAGTCGAAACTCTTCTGTGCTCAGATACTGTAGTAACAAACAACGTAAAAATCCAAGGGAGAGAACAGAGCCCGAAAAAAAATAAAATAAAAATACTAAAGGGGATGCTATGCATCAAGGGACAAGATCAAAAGGAAAGGAATTTCTGTGATCAAAGTCCCTCTCCGCTACTGGCAGAACCTCGTAATGCGAGCGCTGGGTACTGGCAGGAACTACT